CACCGGCCCCCGCGGCGAGCGAGTCGGCTCTATACTGTAGTGTACCCTGCGTGCAGGGTCACATGCCTTCTGAGTCTCGCGGAAGGATTGATGTAAAATGATTCCAAGTTAATTACTTGATTTTAATAGAAAATAAACTGATCTTTTAATTAATACCTTTTATAAGCCGGTACTTTACATAGTTTGTGTAAAAAGTGATCTTTAAACATTTTGACGCTATTTTTAAAAGCTTTCTATAAAGACGCCAAAGGCTAAACTTATATCATGGGAAAGCCCGTTAAAAGCTCTACAGTTCTTTGCCAATGAAAAGACGGTATTTAATTATCCCTCGTTCCGCGAAGCATTTGAATGCAAGCGTGTCAATTTTTCAACTGGCCGACCTCGCATTCCGACCGCGAGGGGCTTCGCTTTCGTCGGCGATTCTCCAGCTCCTAATAATCGGACATATAAACAACTTACACCATTGTAACGAGGAAAAGCTGAACTTTTACCAGGTGTACGGTATTTGGTGTTTTATAGCGAAAGAGCAAAGAAACAGCGATCGGAATTAACCCGATTTTACCGATACCACGCAGTCGGAAGGCCGCGAGTGCCCGCGAGGCCGTGTTTACGCTACCTATTCATATAAAAGGTCCAAACCATTTCAGATTATTTTCGGCCCTATTTTAACGTTTTTTAGTGTGCTGAGAACTATCTTGGCACTAGACTAGAAACTGTTATAAAAGCAATTATTTTTTGTGAATTTAGCATCACCCACCCCCCTTTTGGCAGGGGGGGGGAGTTCCCCCATGCGCACACCCCTCCCCCCTCTTTTTAACCCGACTTCCGTTTTTGTTTCCGATTGTGTAAATAATGTATAAATTAAATGTATGGAGTTAGGCAGGGACCACTTCTCCCTAAGTCTGCCCGGACTTGATGGTTGAGGTTTTGTGACATTATCAGATCTATGATGATATTATGTCATGATCATATCACGCTTATCATTTATTGTTGGTGTGGCTCAATGGCTTTATTGTGTGTAAATTATGACTGTGTCTATTTAGGCATGTGTCTGTTTAAAAGCTCTCGTATCGTTTACACTAGATTTCTAGAGATATATTCGGACATGGGTGTCTTTGTACCCTAGCATGAATGCGAGTTCTGTGCATTGTGGGTCTTTTTCTTTTTGAGATTGACATGCTTCTCTTTCTTTTTGGACCAATGCATCTTTGCAGTTTGCATGAAATTGCATTCCATTTGACTTTTTAGGCCTATAGAATGATGAAAACCAATCGTGATTGTTTCGTTTCTTGGCGTAAATCGACACGCAATACATGTTTGTAAAGAGGGAACATTTTTCTTTAGAAGGATCGTGTCCGTGTCCAAATAGACACTGAAATTATGTAGGCCTACAAATGGCAGTGCCTAGGAACAAAAAAAGCTTCCGGGCTGCAGGGATCAGTTTTCGTTTTGGCTATTCATCAGTCATCAGGTCCTAGCCTGCATTCCTACCCCTAAACGGAAACTCCTTCACTCTTATCCATACCTCAGCCAGAGCTCAGGGGGTTCTCCATCTACATCACAGTTGATTTTTATCAACCTAGATCATGATTAGAATCATCCCTTACTTGACAGGCAGCCACGTGCTGTTTTTGGTGGAACTCTTGTGTCCTCCCTGAGTCTACCAGAGTCTCTAGAAGAGTCTTCAAGTTTTGAGTAGGAATGGCGACGTAAAGAGCTTATAAAAATTTTTAATGTGCTGAAGTTCCACACAGGACCACAGAGAATTTTTGCTTTTACCTTAGAACACTAGATGCTCAATCCTACAGTAGCTACCCCAGGATCAGTGCATTATATTAGACAATCACAGTGTGAGAAAAAAAAAACCCAGACGCTGTTGGGGATTAATCTTTGAACTTCTAGGTTGAAAGGTGAACATCATGTATTTTGAACTACATACCGAATGCATCTCTTTTACTTCACTTTCTTAGGTTTTAATTTCTTTTCTTTTCTTTTTTTTTTTTTCATGGAGGGGATGGGGGAAACAGGAAGGGGAAAAAAGACACATTTTATTTTATTTATATTTTCTTTCCAGCTGGGGCAGTATTGCTTTCAAAAGCAAATACGTTATTTTTTCTAATGGCGACAGAATACTAACTGCACGCATGTTTTGAAAACCTTTAGGCAATATGCGTTTGTAAAATTTGTGTGAGAAGCGGGAAGTGCTGTGAACAATCCCATTTTCCCTGGACGGAGATTTATAGCAAGCTATATATATAGATTTCTATATATTTATGAAGAAAACTTTGTAAATTACACAAATTGTTGTGGAAAATAATGACTATATTAAGACAATTTGATTGCAAAGTATAGGGGACATTGATTCATCCGTTAAAGAGACATTTGATTTTTTGTTTGCCTTATTTATTTATTTATTTATTGTTTGTTTGTAGTTGTTTTATTTATTTTTTTAGGGGGGGGGGTTGTTGGTGGGTGAGTTTTTGTTGTATTTTATTTTTATTTTCATTTTATTTAGTTCAATTATTTTTTGCTGTATTCTTTTCTTTTTTGGGGGCGGGGGGTGTTATCTTAGGGGGCGGGTGATTTTATTCAAAAACAACTTTGCTGACAACTGGGACCTGTCTCCAAGCACACACACACATATTTTTACGTGGTGGAATCAGGCGCTCGTCAATTTTTGGGCTTGTGAAAGTATTGGTATCATCTTAAAGCCTGTTTATTTGCCTTGCTTTTAGTGAAGAAAAAAAATCCATCTTTGTTGAACAGAAGAGATATTTGCGATTGAAGAAGGTCAGGGTCGTCTAGTTTCAGATGTAAAATTAGAGACAAAATGGCAGCCAAAGCTTAGTAATTTCCACAGCTTGAGAGGCCTTTAATCAATTTTTTTCAGTAAAATTCACGCAAAAATGTGTTTTTATAGGTATATACAAGATATTGAGCCAAAATATTTTTAAAAAAAAGAAAATTAGAAAAAAATTACTCAACAGCCTGAAAAAACACCAATTTCTTTGCTTTCTTTATTTTGACGAGCGCCTGATTTCACCACGATGCCTCACATATATAGAGGGCGGGCTTCCAACCCTGCCTGTCTGGGCGAACACAGGCTGAGAGGGGTACAACATACCCGGAGAAAGACCGAGAAACTCGACTACGGTTCTCCCAATTCGGGAAAAGAACTCGGGTCTCCTGCATGCGACAGCAAAGTCGCTACCTCAGAATTACAAACTTCTATCTGACATTTCGGGTCGTTTTGCTAAGACAATGAGGGTCAGAAACCAATAAAGGTTCTATCTGCTCTATCATCAAAATCGTAAGATCATTCGGAGTCGTTATCAAGATATTCAGGATAGAATTGCTTTCGAAAAAGCTTGACGTGGTGTGAAACTCAAAGTGTTTTACTCCAGATTTCTCAAAAGTAGAAAGATCTACTGGGCAGAAAGAAGTTTGTAGTTCAGAAGTAGCGAAATGTTGTCGGGGACTGTGTGAACGGCTACTTAGAACAGTTTCATTGTTTAATCCTATCCGTACGCCCTGGGGGTCATTTGGTACCCTCGGGGGTTGTATTCTTCACATTTTAGAATACTTCTGGTGCGAAAATCTCTTTGAAACTTTCAGAATTTCTCAAAAAATGTATTTTGACAGATTGCTATGCAAAGCGTACGGATCTGATTAACGTGGAAATGTCCTCTTTGGAAAGTTCCCCACGTCGTATGGATACGACAGTAAAACACGACGTACGGATAGGGTTAATTCAGGCAGGAGCTCACAAAATTGACGTTACAATATTTGGTCGCTTTTGAGCACAAGGGAGCTATCCCGAAAAATGCTGTTTTGAGAAATATTGAAGGTAACGTTTTTGGACCCTTTAAAAGACAAGGAGAGGTTTTTTTATATAACCAAACAAATATAAACACCAACGAAACCAAACTTCTCCTATAGGTAGGGCAATGCCCACTTTTGGCGTAGGTAATGATTTCTGGACCCCTCACCCC